CTCAGAACTTGCAAAGCTTAGAACTTGCTAGAGTAGGGTTTTTAAAAAAAAAAACTTAGAAGAAATCAAGGCATATTCACCTCTTTGGTTTTGCAAAAATAGTATAATATATTTTGAGAAGCTATACTTAAATCACAGAGTGCTCAGGGTTGGAAGGGACCTTCGGAGATCACCTAGTCCAACCCCCTGACAAGGCAGTTCCATCTAGATCAGATTGCACAGGAACATGTCCAGGGGGTTTGAATATCTCCAGGGAAGGAGACTCCACAACCTCTCTGGGCAGCCTGTTCCAGTGCTCTGGCATCATCGTATCCAACTGTCAGTCTGTCCAACTGACCAATGGAAATATTACAGATACAAATCGTGCTTTCAATTATTCCTTTTAAATAGTATAGTTACGTATAAAATTTTTCATTTTTGCAAAGAAAGTTGGCATAATTAAAAGATAGGATATTAAAGAAGAAGAATTTTATGTTGCCAGAACTACTTCGCTTTTGCATCAGACCCCAAGTGTCTGTGTACGTACATGACTACCCAAGTTGGTTGTCATTTCTCCTGTATTAACTTCTGCAAAATGATTCTTTTGTAAGAAAGTTCCTCTGTACCACACCTTCTGCTTGAAGCTAAAAGCAGTTTACAGTAACTGAGTATCGGGTTTAATTTTGATAAAATAGACCCTTTTTGCTTTATAAAAAGTTTATGAATGGGAACTATACCTCATTCTACAAAGTTGTTTGTATTATCAAAGTATGGACTCTTCCATACAAAGCATACAAACTCTTACCAGTACTTGTCAGTAGAGTTTATATCTTACAGACCTAAAACACCTGATAATGATTACCTCTAAAGATTTGATACACTTTGCAATCACTCCACACCACAGCGCTACTACCTCGTTCTAAAGCAAATGAGTCATAAAACTCAGCTGAAGCTCCAACTCAGCGTTTGTATATACAGAGCACTTTCATGGTATGACCAGCTAGTTGGTATTGTGGGAAGAGTCTGAAGGTTGCTTTTGATCCTCCTCTTCGTATCCAGCAACAGCTGTACAAAAGGCTGAGTTGTTAACTCTTCACAGGTCTGGAAATACAGTGAGAGAAGATATCTTACTCTGCAGATCATTGCCACTGCAGACAGCCTGCTAAGGGGCTAATTATCGCCAAAGTCAATCTGTAATCAAGTTCATTTTTGTAGGTCAGTTTGTTGGGTGCAGAATTTTAAAATGGAATAAACATATATGTGCTGTGACTTCTTCCATAAAGAAAGAAATGAATCAAGTGTTGACTTTTGCAAATTTTTTAGCATAATGAATAAATATACTTTCACTTCAACACAATAAAAAAGAAAAGCTAGGCACCATAGCCTATTTACAACAGAGCCATAGTCCCTGACTGCAAAACACTTAGCTCTAAACAACTACCAGTCCCTTTCAGTTCAATGGGGCAAGGATGTGCATCTGAATGTTTACAAAATCAGTGCCATAGTTAAAAGCAATCCTGTAAATGGGACCTTTATAACAGAATGGATCCCTCTTTCATTTAATTATTTTATGGTAGTAGTACCAGTGACTTCACTGGGAAAAGAATTCAATTCGGATAGTTTATTAGGGCACAGGTCTTTAATCCACTTTAAACAAATGTAAAAGACTGCAGAGTTCTGTCCTTCATTGTGCTCTTCAGTTTTGTAATACTGTGGATGACAGAATATTATATTTATTTTTATAAAATCAGTAGATGACGCCAAACTGCAAGTGCTGGAACTGCTCAGAGGGAAACAATTCAAAACAGACCAGTAAAATGGAGAAACTGTGTGATAACAAGAGCATGACGTTGGCTAAAGGCCAGCACAAAGTATTATGTTTAGAAAGGAAAAAGCAAATGCATAGTACAGTGACTTTAACATCGGGTTTATAGTAGGCTATAGACTGTATCCTTAATACTTTAACATTGGGAAGAAAAAAAGTATCATTCCAGGAGCTGTTCCATCAGGTATCATATATATGGCACATGACGTAACAGTTCCACTTTATACAAATAATAGTTCCACTGGTTGCACTAAAAAAGTCTCAGCAGGAGCACCCTGTTTAACATGGGGAATTAGATGTTAATAAAGATATCTGTTAACCGTATATGAACTGGCACAAGGCCAAGGAGAGCAGCTACAGTAGTTCCAGGTCTAGAAAACAAGACTTAGGAGGACGGACCAAGTTAAATCCTTTTTAAAATTTATTTTAGAAAAGGCAAAAACAGTAGAGGTAGGAAGATGCATGATAACAGTCTTTAAATTGGTTACTTCTCATACATAAACATAACCTGATAAATACCTTAATCATACTTTATGTATTTAGTTTGCAGAAATCAAGATTTAGGTAGGTCTTGGGTGGAGTGGGGAGCATTCTAGTGATGAGTATAGGAAAAATTGTAATTGGTTGCATAGGACACTGCAGAAATCACCATTACTAAGCATTTTAAAAACAGGTTAGACAAACATTTGCCATACAACCTATGTATACTTGATCCCAGAGCATCCAAATTACCTCTCAAGGTGCCTTTCAGCTGCACGCAACCAAAATTTTACTCCAGACTTCATCTCCAACAAATTAATGTGACTTACAATTAGTAAAGACTTTATACGCCCTTTTCTGGTCTTAGCTGCTGCTGAATACTGATCTAGTTATTTTATTACAATGCCATATACACAGCATAATAATTCCTAATTAATTACTGGGATGTTATCCCTATCCAGCCGCTCACATACATAGGAGATCCAAACGATACATTTAACACAGTAGATAGGTGACTATCCATACTGGAGAGAAAATATTCCTGAAATATTGAAGAACAAAATATGACCCGTTACACTACTAATATCTAGTGACAAGAACATAGTAGGCAGATGACATAGGTAAAGCTGTCTCCTTGTATTCATCCAAGAACAAGTCACAAAACTAAGTCAGCCATGAAATGTGTGATCCCTGGGCCTCCCCTGACCTATATACCTTCACTTTGATAAAAGGAGTTCCACCAAGCACTACTGCTCAGTACCTAAAATGTCCTCAATTATACTGCCTTCATAAAAGAAAGGCTTATTTTAATTCAAGAGCTCAGCTCAGTAAACATGCAATAATGCCTGTGCCTAGCAGCACATTATTTTCAAAAGCTCTTTTCTTTTTCAGAATTATAGCACTCTATCCCACCCAAGCCATTACAATAGCAAAAAGTAATTTTCTACTATTATAAGCCAACTGAAAATACCAGCACTAACACAATTTTAAGAGTATGTAATCAGGTTAAAACTAGAAAATGAAAACTAACATTTCCTCTAATTAGAATTACTTCTTGAAACACTATAAACTTCAATTAGGCAATGACAGGCTCTTTTTCTGGTTTGGGTTTTGTCTTTTCTGCTGAGGCTTTTCTATGGCTTAATAAAAACCACAGGACAGGATCACTAATTAGAAGGATACTCAGTATTTAATTTTATCATTTGATGTTACAAGCTGTAGCTTCACATTACTTGCTGTATATCATCTTAGATACTGCTTTGAAGAGGATATTTTGTTACACGGTATTGTATAAACTCTACTGAGGTGCCTGTACTGTATTTCACAAACATAAACAAACCAAATCCCACAGCATGGTGTGAGCTGAGACAGCATCATGCCCTCTTCTACAAACATGGAACAAAGGGATAGAAAAGATGAGATAAAATAGTAATTTTGAGGAGCCTTATCTGCGTCCCAAAGAGGAAGGATTGGTCCTGTTAATCACTACAAAAGGCTGAATTTGCAGATTATGTAACATTAGCTGAATATGTGCTTAGGACTGTTCCAAATCCAGACCCAAACACTGCAAGTCGGGCAGTGAAAAATGAAGACACAAAAAATGAAGCACAAATTAGTTGCATTAAGTATTTTCTTTTAATAAATCAAGCAGATAACCAGAAACTCTATCATATGTTTGAGCCTTTAAATCAATACAAACCTCTGCTACCTAAGCAAAACAGTACCTGCAACAGTGACAGATTTTCATCTTCTAGGGATGAGCGGTGAAGGCGATAAGAGGCAAGACAAGTCTTCCTCTTCCATCGCCTAACTCAAACTTGATGTCATCCCAGAATACAAGGAACAACAACCAAAGACAAGTGAGGCAGCGGAGATCCTGAGTTGAGCAAAGACACGGCTCAGTCACGCACTAGGATAACACAACCAAGAAGAGAGTTTTATGCATTCTGTGACCCAGAAGAACTGAATGGTGCATGTTTACCACAGATGAGGCTGGGGTAACAGTAGTGCCTAGCTCGGCCAAAGTTCTGCTTCAGCAAACAGAAAAAGGAATTTTCACAAGAGCTTTCAACCCAGTAAAAATGGATGGGTTTCCACACAATGCCCAAAAGCTCAGCCTGACAAACAGCAAGCTCCCTGATATGTGCCAAGACACTAATTCAAAGTACAGAAGGACTATATCTAAGAAAATTTTAACTTAATAAAGAAATAATACTGAGAAATATTGGGACTAGTTTCAGTAAATGCTGCAAAATAATCACATGCCAAGCATGGAAAAATTCAACCACAAATGGGTAAGCTGGGGAACCTTAGAAGCAATTTGGAAAACTGTCTTAGATTGGGAAGTATTTGACATTCTCAAATATAGCCATCTTAAGTACAGGCCTCTCTCCTAAGATGGCATTGGCTATGATACTTCAGTTTTATCCTGAACTTAGTAACCTAAAAAAATCCACCACCAACAACAGAAAGCTTAAATAATCTAACTTGCTGGTTTTAGTTAGGATAGAGTTAATTTTCCTCACAGCATTTGGTGACGACGACACTCCTTCAGATAACTGTTGTTCAGGAAACAGCAAGGCTACAGAAGAAAAACACTCATGCATACCATTTAAGAAAACTGAATATTAATGAGGCAAGCAGATAAATAATTACCTGGAAAAAAACAGTAACAACAAAAACCCCAGACAGTAGTTATGAGATAGAACAAATATACCTTGTCCTTGAGGAACTCCGTAAAATTCAGCAGCTATCCTTGCTGCTTCCTTACGGTTCCCTTTTACAATGTAGAAATGACTAAGTATAGCGAGGCTGATCTTCACAAAAAGTTTAAAACAAAAAAGGGAGAGTATCGTAAAGTAGACATTGGATAGCTGCTGGGCAAAAGGGCGACTTTCTTCTATGACAGTCATTGCTGCAGCAAAATCGCTCTCAGTGTTTGGGAAGGGCTTTCAAATGTGTTGATAAGATCATATGGCTCCAGCCACGCACTCTTGGGAACAACTGGTCCTGAGGAAAGAAAATATCAGCTGGTCATGATGCTTGCTGCTCAAAATATGACGATTATTTATACTGTACATAGTATTGAGTTCACTACCACTCCTGCTAGCCTGGTGATATTCAAGTGGGACGGAACATAACAGACACAGGTTCCAAGACCCTGGATTGTACTTGTTCCACTTAAAAGGTCTGTTTCATTCCAAATTCTGCATTTCTAATTAATTTGTTTATCCTATTAATACATGCTTAAAAATACACTGTCAAAAGTATTACTATTAAGAACTACAATTTCATGTACTAAAAAGGTAACTCAGGTAATCAGTTTTTACTAAAATAAGTTCTTCTGCTTTTAAAGTACAATTGCTCTTTTGTGCCACTTCATTTTATGTTAGACTATTTTTTTCTTAAAGAACTAGAACCACATCAGTAAATACTTGAAATATAAATTAACAAAGACACTGAGATTTAATATATGTTGACAGCCTCATCATTTTTTCAGGCTGAAGGAAAGTATCTAGTACACATGGCTTATAACATTATACAAAAAACAGAATTCAGAGCAAACTAAAAATCTAACTTCTAGATATTTTAATAAATAATATATTGAGCATCTAAAATTACATAATTTAAAATGTAATTATAAATAAATAATTAAATGCAACAGTAAATATACAACAATTTCTAATGCTTATGATACACCTTTCATTGTGCTGCATGATGTTATTTTAAACCTATGACATGAGAGGCTTTATGCCTTGGCCAGTTTTAGAGAGGGGGATGTGAATTTCTCAGATATTTTAAGATTTAATTTGCTTATATACCATAAAGTTATTAGTCATAGTCATCAGCACTTATGCACAAACTGTTCCATTAGTGTGAGTAATTGCTGAGTAAATAATGGTGACACAAACTGAGGAGCTACAGGACAGAATTAGGTACCTAAGTAAGCTATAGCCCTAAAATAAAGAATCATGGCTGCATAGGAAAGAGTTCTGTTCTAAACTTTTATATTTCTTTTTATATAAAAGAAAGAGCGTCTTTGATTAGAGTTTAAAATACTCTACCCATAGTAATTCTAAACTGAAATACGCTTTCTCTTCTACCCTGGATTCTCGTTTGATGGTCAGAAAAAAAAACCAAACAAACAACCAAACATTTTAGAATGTTGGCAACTCTCCATTAGGAACACAGGGTATGATCCAAATGTCACTGCATCCACAGATCCCGGAGTTCAATGAGCAGCATAGCAGACATTAAGGATATGATACAAAATCGTATCAACTTCTTATCATCTGGCTCCAGGAGTAATTTATTACAGTAAGAAACTATAATGTTTTCTGTAAACTACATTCAAATAAACCTATAGAAATGAAGAAAAGACAAAAGAAAAGGAAGCTTATATCAAGATTTTTAACAGACAAGAACTGAAATGTGCTTATCTTGAGAGAAACAGACATTCAGCCTTTTTCTTTGAAAAAAAATTAATCCACATAAGAGTCAAAAAAGTAACTAGAAAAGGCAATTAAAAAGCAGTTTACATGTAAACTATATTGTTCTGTAAAAAAAAAAAAAAGCATTTTCTCCTAAATTTCATTTATAGACATTTTCTCATCCAGCCAGAATAGGAACTGCTCTCCTCATACCATAGTTAGAAGCAGGAGTGAGTACTTAAAATGCCAAATGAAAATCCCTTTTTATATTTGGCACATTGTTATCTGACACTGAATTGAGGTGTCATGTTTTCCATAAGAATAAATAGGCATTATGTTCTGAGCCACCACTGCCAATTTCCGTTTCAGTCATTAATAGAAATGATATTTTCCTTAGTAACACATCCACTATTGGAATTTTTTGTTTCTTCTGTATTTCTGCTAGTATTATTAAGCTTAAGTCAATCCGAGCACAGAATTCCCCAGCCATCTTAAGTCCCTGTTTTGCTAATTTACCATGCAGAATAAAGAAACCACAATTATCTCATGGAAAACGTTTTTCTTCTTCACGATGTTTTACCTGACCCCTTTTATTACTGACTCCACATTGTGTCATCCAGTAACTTTGCTTTCTCAACTGGATTTCTCCCACATTTTGTTAATTAACAAAATAGTCTTTCTTTGCAGAGGCAAAGAGTAAAAATCCAAAGAGTAATTACTATAAACAACAGCTGTAGTTAATGGCAGTGCTCAGAGTTAATCTTCCCCTTACAATACTGTTACCAGCTTCTTACAACTGCAGCAGATAAATCAGTGAAAAGAAATTTCCCAGTTGTTAAACTATCTTCTTCAGGTTCTACTTTTCTGTAAAGGGTCAACAAAAATAGCAAAATCCTTTTCAAAAATAATGATGTGGATGCATGTTTTTTTTTAAAATGATCTTTCAAACATCCTCATTGATCTGTAAACCTTCAGCTTTTAGAAACGACATGAAAACTGAGCGGGAGGGTTATTCCTATACCAAAGCTTGTCTTTTGCCCTCTCAAAAATCTCTCTCCTTACCTATAAACTATGTCAAAATCAAAGAAACTTGGAATTTTGAGAATTTCAATTCACACACGCTCATAAGAAGCTGGCAAAATTACTTTCCTAATGGTATTTCTTCTTTTTTAAAGCTCTATAACTCATTTGTGCCAGCTTAACTGGAAACTCTCCCAGCTGCACAGAACAACCAATTTTATCCTAATCTAAGGCTACTAAAACTCTGCAGAAATTGCCATTACAGCTCGTTGGCAAAGCCAAAAACCAGGCACCCGGTCATGAAATCAGAACAACTGTTCAGATGTTAACGCTCACACAGCATTCTGGAAACATCAACACTGCGAATACTGCCACCTGGCCACAAAACAGCAGGGCCCAAGCCCACGCAGCCTGGGAGAACCAGCAACAGAAAGCTACAGATGTTGTAATGGAAATCAGCAAGTAGAAACGTAAGTAAGTAGGTAAAGGATAAGACAGTCAATGTGATAAGAGTGTAAAACTCTGGCATCTAAGTGTTCCAAGTTTCCTATTGGATGGCAAGATGAAGCAACGGGAGTCTGGTCTCGCAGCAGTGCAGAATGCTGAGCGCTTCGAAAGAGAAATGCATCAATGTGCCATGTTACAAAAATATGAAAGCACTTGAAAAGAGCAGTGGCTTAATCTGGACACTCACCTTTCCTGTACAGATGTAAGGTTTGGGATTTCAATTTCTCTGCCTCATACCCTCACTTGTAAAATGGGTTTAAAAGGACCACTCAAGAGGAGTATTCTGAAGATGACTCAGTTGCTGTTAACAAAGCACTTGGATATTCTGGTGAAAACACCACTAATCGGGTATCTAATCGTTTTTCTTTTAATACAAAATTTGGATAAAAAACTGAATAAAATTAAATATTGAATGTTCATTCACTTAATGGCTACAAAAAGGATAGCATGCAAAGTTTTATCATAGCACATGGGAAAATGGCCCAGGGATTATTGTTTTAAGAACGTAAACAGTACTGTGGCAGACAAAGATCCCCCTGGCTTGACATATTCCCAGAAAAAAAAAAACCAAAAAAAACCCCAAAAAAACAGAACAGTGGAATCAATTCTCTTGTATGCTTTCTCCATTTCTGGCAATCAACTATTTTAATTTTAAAACCATTTAAAAAAAATTTAAATGCTGGAATTTACGGTCTTAAATTCCCTTTTAATGCAGCTTGACGTGTTATCATTTCTAAAAATCATGACCAGTATATTCAAGCCAGCAATACTGCCATTTATACTGGCTACGCAAGGGAGCGCTCAAAGTAGGCTGCCCTCTAATGTCTTACTGTGTAGTGGCCAAGTGCAGAAAGGAGGTCTTCTGCAGTGGCACCTCTTTATGCTAATTGAAACAATTTACCCACACCCTAAGCGACTTCTAGACAAAAAGTATGCTCTATCTTCTATTATTAATTACATAACCACATTAATAAACCTTTATTTTATGCCGGTGGGTGGATACAGTGGCTGTATCACTTGTTATACACGCACTGGATAGCTGCTTCTCGCAATGGTGATAGATTCCATTTCAACGACAAGTCTGCTATCAAACAATCCCTGCTATCAGCAACATTATCATATGAGCATGCTAGATCTGCTTAACCAGCCCATCTAATCACTGGCAGTAAAGTTCTGAACGAACGGGAAGCAGGTACAACTGACCTGCTTTAAACGAGTTACATCTTAAATTCAACCTGAGTTCTGCCTACAGACAGGAAGTCTGTCCTATGTTATTTGTGGCAATACTCTCTGGATAACTTACACAACCCAATTAAGAGTATTATAGACAAAGATTCCAAAATAAGCCCTGTGGGTACTCAGAGGCATTACTAAAACCAGAAACGTGTCACACAAGCGTGCACACATCTGCTGACAGACGAACCCTAGCAAATCTTGCCCCGGGGAGTTTTAAAAGTTACCACCTCCAGCTGCCCATGCCATTCCTCAGCTAAAGGTTCCTGCCCCTCTTTCTACCTTCCTGGAAGTCAACAGGAAGGAATGTGTACTGGTATTCAGCCACTTCAGTCCAAATTCTGGCAATTTAAACTCTTGATGAATTTCAACTATTCCTTTGGACTTCACACTGAAAAAACACTCACACCCCTACTGCCCATTTTGCCACAGACAGTAGCCTCCTGTTAAAAAGTAGCAGCAAACTATGAGGGGAGAGTAATGCCAAAATGCACATACAAGCTGCAGCTTAATAAGGATATTTAGCTGTAATTTTTTATGGCTCAATGAACTGATATGGCTGTATCAGTGAAACTTTGACGAGTCTCCTCATTTTGCATCTGGTTCCCTTTGCACAGTTCCTTTCTTGGGTCCAAACTAATGTCTTCATCACCAACAACATGTCTGTACAACTTCACAGAGTCCTTCTTCAGCAACTAGCTCACCCTCTTCCTTAAGTACTACTACAGCTGCTATGCTTCAGATATTGGAACTGGCTTGACAGAACGTTGCTATTTCTCATTTCTCTAGTAGGCAGTGCAACCACCCTATTCGTCTAAATTCATGTACCTGAACCTGAACTGTATTTTTGCAGGTTTTACAGGGTTTTTGGGGTTTTTTAATGAACTGCAAAATGTCACATATGCTTAATTAAATAACTCTAATAAAATTAGTAAATAAATCAGTTGGTAACATTCAGATCCCAGAAGAGCCATGACATGAAGATTTGATTTTCATCACATATACAATAAGTGCATGAGAAATGATTGACAGAAATCTTCTGTTTCAATTGACAGTTTTCAAAAGGCAAGATTTCCACCTGTAACTAATGCCTCTCTGCCACTTTGCAACCTACACAGACCTCTTCAGCTGTGTGAATTAACACTACTTGCACTTACGAAACTATTCCAGATCTATGGTAATTTTTTTTTTTAACATGTATGACCTTTAAATTATATCATCAAAATAACTGTAATCTATTCTAAAGCGAAACATTTGCTCAAAAAAGTAGAGCTGAGTTATGAATGTTTTCTGTCACCAATATGAATTCCTTTCAAAATTGCTAATTTTATTCTTTTATTCATATTATTTTAATTTTTCTTTAATTATTTAACTAATTTTATTTTCTTCATTGCATACTGTTTCTAAATACAGTGAAATAATTAATTTCTTTTAACTTTATACCCAGCCCTGAGGAGAAGGACTTGGGGGTACTGGTGGATGAAAAGCTGGACATGAGCTGGCCGTGTGCGCTGGCAGCCCAGAA